GTTTATGCTCCTCAGTTTTCATCTATCATTAACCATATCACTTATTCAAAATGGAGACGAATGTAGAGCAATATAAGACATATAGCACTACCCAATAAGAATTATTTCTGGAGGTGGGAAGAATCGAGAACTGCGCTATTTTTCTTTAACCACTATTGCAATTCTTCCATCTTGTCTTGAACTACAAAACCTATGACAGTCTGGGAGAAATATATATTCAGTGGGAGAATATATATTTTACACCTAGAATGGTGACTCTAGGGACTGTATTTGGCATCTAGTAGAATGACAATATGGAATTTTGAATGAGTATCTGAAAAACTGAATGGCTGCTTTTCAAATTATAATTATCCAATTTCAGTTTATATAAAATTGGATGGAATAGCTAATATTCTGGAAGACAAAACTCAAAACAATCTTGATACTTGACTAAGAGAAATCAGCTGTAAATAACAGCATGCAATTTTTAATAGAGACAAATGTAATTTTTTTCCAATTGGTCAGAATCCAGCTTAAATATTTGGTCATTTTCTAAGCACCAAACTCTAGGAAGGATTCAGACAAATTGTAAGGCTCACAGAAGTGTAGCAAGCAAGACTGAGAGATTAGAAATCAAGGCCTACGAAGAGAGATTGAAGGAATAAAGAATATCCAGTCTAAAGAACAAGGAGGAAGAGTATGGTATACTCTTTACATATCTGAAAGGCTGCCATGCAGTAGAAGTTGAAGACCTATTTTCTATTGTTCTAGAGTGCAAGACACAGAACAGAACAATGTTAAGGAAAGCAAAAACGTCTCCTGAAGGTAAGAAACAAAACTTGCTAAGAAGAAGAGCAGTTGAGTAACAGAATCAACTATCTGAAAAAGTGGTAGGCTGTCTTTATGGAATACAGTCAACCAGCAGATGAACAGCCAGTGATGCTAGAATTTGAATTCCTTCACTAAGCAAGTTATTGAACTCAAGGGCACAAATGGCCTTTTCCTGCAAAAATGATAGCAGCCTGAATAGATACTACTAGCCAGATACATGTTGGTTTCTTATAATCCCTAAACAGAAGACAGGATAATCCAGTTATGCTTCACTTCTGTGATAGCAATCAAAGAAGAAAAAAATGACAGCATTCTCCATGGGCTGAGAGACAAGGTATATATGGACCTAATTCTACTGGAAAAAGCAGGCATATTCAGGGAACAAACAACAACATTTTCTAAAGTGCTGATGACACAGTCTAGATTCCTAGTGGATTAAATATACAGCTATGATAATTGAGGATTGACATTCACTAAATGTTGTTTTTTATTTCTTTAGAGAATTTAATAAAATATGGTATACATGTGTGCCCTTGCATGCAGACAAAAAAAAACAGACAAAAACAAGAGGTATAAAATAGCTCTGGCATTTCGGATGATAATTTGAACTGCCACTGCAATTGCAAGCAGTGCATTCCAGATCCAGATGCTTCTCTTCTTCTGTTTCTTCAAGGAAATAAAATTCAATCATAATTATGAGCCACTTGTTTGCAATTATCTAATTTGATGGGATACTAATTGAATAGGCATAAGAATCAAGCTCTGCAGAACTGTGTGAAGATTCAATGGGGAACACTTTTTTAAAAAAACAATATATTTATGCATAGCTGGGAAAAGGAAAATAAAAGACTTTTTGATGGCCAACAGAGAATCTGATCATATTTTGTACTATTGCTAGCCAACTATATTCCACAGCTATCTGCAGTCATATTTAGACATATCTGTGTTTACTGGATAATGATAATGGATTGAGGGCCAAAAAATAGAGCAGACCACAAGAAAACTATTAGAAAAGAGAAAGGAAACAGAGTAGTTATCGTGCAGGCCAAGGGATGGTTTTTGAACTTTTTGTATCCCATCAGACTGGCTCTGTAGATGTGCTAAATATGTTACATGAGCCCAATACTGAAAACCTATGATTCTATTACTTTTAGAGGGCCACGCTGACAAATAGCCAACAGAAATCTGCCATTTGATCTAAGACTTCATTCCAAAAATAACATCAACATCTATATTAAGAGAGAAGCCATTAGAAGAACCTAGACAGGTATTTTATTATATCAATATAAAATCTAATCAGTCAGGAGACATATGATGCATGTTCCTCTTTTATGTCACTTTCTTTCATTATTCTATTTTTTCTCCCCAAAGGGCTTATCTGATCATTCCTGCTGATGCCTGCAGCTTCCCCACACTGTCAAATAAAATGTGATTCAATATTCCAGGAATCCCCCATTGGAGTGTCTTGAAACAAGGAAGATAAGAGGAGACTTTGTTCACTGGGGTTGCTCAGAAACATTCAAGATGATGAAAAGAATAGGCAGTTATGCGGAAATAATTAGAGAAGAAGAGTTAGACTGAAGGAGAAATGGGATGGCATATTAGGAAATGAAGAGCACTTCTATCACAGAAATGAAATACACACACCAACTAAAGCAGCAAATGGGCTTTTAAATGCAGTTAATGTTTGTCATTTCATAGACAAGTGTATTCCACACATGTCGACTCCTGAGCATCTGTGGACCTCACAATCACAAGCTGACAAAAGAATAAGAGGACCAATAAACCAATTAAAAGCATTCATTTCCTGTCATCCAGTATTACGTATCCATGTTCTCACAAATATTATGAATGTTATGCTACATACACAAAAGAAATAAACTCCGCTGAAGATTCTGACACCATCATTACATTCTAGAAAACATGGCATCCTCTGTTAATTTCTGACATCCTTCAAAGTAATTGTCCTGGCCTGTTTGGAAGGAAATGTACCTGTGTGCATGTGTGTGTAACACAAAAGAATATATATCTCTTACAATGATACTGCAATAGCTAAATAAATGCCAAGGTGGGACTGTAAACTGATTTTTATAGGCAAAATTTCAGGCATGAAGCATGATAACAGGCAAATAATTGTTTCCACTTTATTTAGAAAATTATCCATGTGTTATCATCAAATATTAAGTAATAGCTCAAGATATAATTCTGAAATAATTGAAAATATTTCTATTAATACTTTCCCAAAGAATGGTTGCATCAGTGTTTTCCAGAAAAGCAATCAAAAGATTTTGGCACCTCAAATCCTAACTAATTTATTTGGGAAGAAGGTTTTATAAAAGTTAGCTTTTCATGATCTGCAAAGATAATCAGGTCTTTCTTAGTCCTGGAATGATTCCAATGGTGCTTGTGGAATAATTCAACGTAGAACTATATTTCCAAGGTTATATGCTTAGCTCAATAGTTTGGTAAAAGGACCTCAAGCCCCTCTATCATCCTATTGTCATGTATTGTTCTTGCCCTACCATAAAGAAAGGCACATTGCCTCTTTATACAGAAAGCCCAGAGTTGACCTCCATGGATTTTTTTTTCTACCGGTATGAATCAATTTACCTCTGGAGAAAGAACAGCAAAAGGGAAGAATACTGAACTATTTTAAATGCTGCTTCCCTACTCCAAAAATTAAGGAATTGTTACTTACTTTCAAAGCAGGCACTAGATTAAGAACTAGAAAGGTAGTTTTAATTAAAACTCAGAAAGGTAAGTTGTCTTATCAGGTACTCATACTTGAGTGTGTGCCATCAAGTCACTGTCAACTCTTAACACCACATAGATTGATTTTCTCCATGATGATCTGTCCCTATCTCGATTCTTCAGGTCTTCCATTGCTACTGTAACTGAATCCATTCACCTTGTTGTTGATCATTCTTGCCTTCTCTTCCCTTCTATGGGCACCCATAGACTTGTAAAACAGTGCCTTGAGAAGAAGAGAAGATATGAGAACCTAGCAATTGACAAAAAATGATGTTATGGGGTGGATCTCTTCAGCTAGAAATCAGGACAAAGTCTAAACATTTTCCTAAGCTTTTCCGTCCATCAGTTGTAATTCCACTTCAAGATTTTATTTTTGCACAGAAGAAACTGGCAGATACTGCATACTTACTGGTTTTTAAATTGTAACTTGAGACTAAGCATTTGAAAAGCCCAACTTTTTTCCAGTGTCCAATGTATAGTGTATAGAAGAATTAACCCACTTTTTGGAGAAAAAAACCTGTACTGCTTATATAATCCCAAAGAAATGCCCACAATTTACAGAAAGAATACCAAGCTTTCCTTACCAAAAAACAAACAAACACACACACACAAAAATTGGCTAGTCCAATCATCTTTGTATGCTAAAAAAAATCTTTGCAGTTGATTTTTATAAACAGAGAGAATAGAGCTTTTGAAAATCATGCATTCAGCTCAGAGATTTAAAAAGTTCTTTAAAATCCTTTTCTTTTTATTAAAAATAACAATGTATTTTGGTTTTTATAGCTAACCTTTTATCAACGCTATACTGAGCACTAACTGTACAATATTGCATCTCTGTCCACTTACTGTTACTATAACATTGTATACTTTTTTCTCTTTTCTATTTGTCCATTCTTTTGTTTAAAAAATGATTAATTAAAAAAAAGAGCTTAAAGGCAAGAAAGCCACTGCAGTCAACATATAACCGCAACTCCAGGTTTCTTCACTTTTGTCACTTGCAAACAGACTAGGGGTATACAAAATTTCATTTTGAATCAGTTCATCTTCACAAAACTCCCCAATTTGAATGTTAGTCTGTTGTTTTTTTTAATGCAAAACTGGCAGTTTTGAGAATTCTGAAAATATTTTAAGGTCAAAAGACCTGTTTAGAGCTCAGATCAGTTCCAAATTACTCAAAGTAGCCTATTTTACACTTGTGGGGAGGAGCTTCACAGAATTGGGTACTTAAAACAGTTTGGACTGAAATGTTTTACATGCCACCACACATGGACCTGCTATGTTGAATTCTAGAGCACACTGTCACACAGAGACAGGGAATGCAAAAATAAGCAAGAGACAGAAAGAAAGCTGTCTGCTCTGAAATACACATCAAGCTGGAAAAGTGAACATGCTCTTTCATCAGAGCTGTTTCTGACACAGACCAGCAAAGCGCTCCAAACATCTCGATCAGACATTATTCCGCCTTTCTGCGAACATCCCAGCCACAGCTCATGGCTTTCACCACAGTGCTATAGAGCTTTGTCCAGGCTTCACGCACATTCAGCTTGAAGGCAGGACCATGGCATTTCTCCAGCATATAGAGCAAGGAGTCCCCTACAGCCTGCAAATCACAAGGAAGATTACAGAGTTAGCAGACATCTCAAGACAAGTATAATTTATTAATATTGGAAAGAGATGATGGTCTACCACAAGAACACTGTACTTAGAAAGGAATGTCACATTCCCTCCACCTGCTACTAATTTGATTTTTTGTTGTTGTTGCTATCCATCACTGAAAAAGTAATGCCCAGTCTCTAAATATAAAAGACAATTTCGTTAACTATATTCATACAAATAAACTGTTTTTTGTTGCCAACTGCATCCATGATTGTATTTTGAAAGGGGGGAACTGCATTACGATGGTTACTCCACTGCCCTGTACAACTTGAAAGCTTTTAGCATCTAAACAGAGATTTATTTACTAAACTGCAACTACAAACATAAGAATCATTGAAAAGCAAATCCACTCTTTATCTCCAAATATGACATCAAAGACACATCCTCAGATTTTATCCATTAGCTATAACTTATGAATAGAAAATCCCACCTATACCCCATTTATGTATTGTTTCTTTTCTTAGCTAGTTTTTTGTTAATTTTTAATCTTTTAATTTTTAATGTTTTTAATATTTTAATGTTCTAATTGTTGTATATTGCTGTTGTATAAGCCACTCATTGGCAGCAGGAGGAAGAGGTGGCAAAGGTCAGCTGAGGTTGACATGGGGTGGCAGAGGTAGATGACAGAATGCAGGATGGCCAGGATGGTGAGTAGGGGGAACTGAAGTGCATGTTGCAGTTGTAAACGTGGATGGGCTGCCAAGAACCTGAAAGTTGACGACATAACTCCATGGATGCTGCAGCAGGCCGTAACTTTGAGGATTGGTTGTAACTACTATTTGTTCAATGCTGCCATAACTTCAAACATTGAATGCTCATTGAATGGTAACTGAGTGAGGAGTACCAGTACCTGTAATGCAGAATGGGACAATGAGTTGGCTACAGCCAACTTGCCATGGCCATGTTGCTACAGTCAACTTGCCACGGCCATCTCACTACAGCCAACTTGCCATGGCCATTTCGCCACGGCCAACTCACCATGGGACAACTTGCCATGGAAAATTCTACGCGGGTTAACTCAACACAATAAATGTTACCTGCCACTGTTTCTTCGACATTGTTTCCATTTTTGTCAATGGAAATAATGCCAAAGAAACAATAGTGGATAACATTTATTGCATTGAGTTATCCCGCGTGGAGTTGTCTTCAGAAAATTGTCCGGCAGCAAGTAGGCCATGTCAAGTTGTCCTGCAGCGAGTTTGCTGCGGCAAAAAGCAAGGCACAGCAAACCTGTTGTAAGTGCTTACCTCAAAGGACTCAATCTTGACACCAACTGCTTGATGTTTCCTGCCAAGATTAGCAAGGTAATCCTCCAGGCAATGCAAATTCTCCAAATGAGTTACAGCTGCATCAATTACCAGCATTACCTACCAAAGAGAAAAGATAATACAATAAAAAAGCAGAAATCTGGAATTCTATTTTGGATAACTCTGTCTTTTTCTGAAAGCCTTCTGCAAACATTACAAACAAAGGTTTCTGCTATTATTCACCATAGTGCAAGGACCACCACAACAGGAACAAAAGCATATTTGAAAGAAATCTGTATCTGCCTAATGATGTTTCCTTCTTCCTTCAATGATTTATTTATTATAGTATTTGTTGAATTTATATCCTGCCACCATTTCACAACTCTTAATGGGTTACACGTTATGTAAGAAAAAAAACCTAAAACATCCATGGCTTGAGTTAAAAAACAATATTCAAATCATGAATTTAATGACCAAAATACAGCAGAACACTAATTGATAGTCACTTCTCTGCCCGTTCTTCACAACAGCCAGGATAAGCAGCAGTCCAAACTACATGTGACAGAAAACAATCTAGACACCTATCCTTGCCCACCTCTTCAGGGTTCACAAACTAGGAGTTCCAGATAACATGCAAGATGGTGGCTTAGCCAAAAGATTATTACCAAGTCTACTGTATATGTAGAAAACGTTTTTATATTGGAATAATTAAAAATACATACAGATCACTAGGCTGTTAACAAAACATACAAATACCCCTATTTCCCTTTGTCTGTTCATGTTCAAACAACCACACTGGTGGTGTCTTAACAGAATAACAACAGAAAAACAGAGTTGGAAAGGATTTGGAGGTCTCTTCATCCGAAACCCTGCTCAATCAGGAAACCCTATAGCATTCCAGACTAATGTCCAGTCTCTTCTTATAAATCTACAGTGTTGGAGGACCCAAAACGTCTGAAGGAAAGCCATTCCACTGATTAATTGTTCTATCAGGAAATTTCTCCTTAGTTCTAGGTTGTTTCTCTCCTTGATTAGTTTCCATCCATTGCTTCTTGTCCTGCCTTCAGGTACTTTGAAGAATAGGTGGACCCCCCTCTTCTTTGTGGCAGCCCTTTAGAAATTGAAACACTGCTACCATGTCACCCCTAGTCCTTCTTTTCATTAAACTAGATATACCCAATTCCTGCCGCCATTCTTCATATGTTTAGCCTCCAGTTCCCTAATCATCTTTGTTGCTCTTCTCTGCATTCTTTCTAGAGCCTCAAAATCTTTTTATATAATGGCGACCAAAACTGGATTCAGTATTCCAAGTGTGGCCTTACCAAGATTATAAAGTGATATTAACACTTCACATGATCTTGATTCTATCCCTCTGTTAATGCAGGCTAGGACTGCACTGGCTTTTTTGGCAACTATAGCACACTGCTGGTTCATATTTAAGTTATCCACGCATATTATACAAGCAATTCTGACTCACTTGGCATGGATAGCCATAAGTTATCTCACAGAGAGAAGCTATCAAATTAATTAATTTTGGTTTTACCTTCTTGCCATTCTTCTTGAGTGTTTTTTCTTTCTCAGAAGAAAAAGTAAACAAAAAAGAGAAGCATTTTTCCTATGTATTCATAAGAAAATACCTTGATTAGAGCACCTTGTAGGCAGTTTCAAAAAGAAAAGGCCAAAATGGTTGCAGTGGTAATAGTTCCTTTCAGGACCATATTTTCTAAGTAGAATCTGTCCACCTATGCAGTTGAGCGAAGAGGAAAGGCTCCAGGTGCTTAACTCTCTGAGAAATGGGAAGGAAAGACGCGAACACATGGAGACTGATCTTCCATCATGGTATCCTTCTGGCTCAAGGGAATGGGAGTAGGAGGCACTGCATAACGGCAATTATCCTCCTTTCTTTGAGGCCAATTCCAGTTGGTGTTGGAGAGAGAAAAAATTGAGCCTGAGGCTGCTCTTTATGGGTTGCCTTTGGACTGCACCTTCATGCTACTCCTCTTTAACATCTATATAAAGCCACTAGGCAAGGTCATCTGTCATCATAAGATATATATCATAAAGTACATCATCAGTATGCTTGTGATACCAGTTATACATCTCCACCCTAAACCAATCAAGTAATGCCTCCATGTTACATGACTGCTCCAGAAATTGTCCTAACTCTCATCAGACTTTCAGATGCAACTCATCTATAAAGCTATGCATGGCATAGGGCCAAGTTACTGCCTTTTTCTAGCAGGGTGGGCATCCTCTGGTCCCTTCCAAATCAATGTTATCTTGTTTAACCCAGGAGTCGCATATTCTGTCTGACAGACCTGTCTTGTGGAACAGCATCTCCTGAACATCTGGGTGGCCCTAATTCTGTTAGACTTTCATAATACTCTGAAGATATGATTGTTGCCCCAGACTTAGGAAGTTAGGCAAGCTCTGCTGTAGATGTGATTTTATGAATGGGATACTGTATATTGTTTATCTTGCACATCACAGGCCATGCCTTTTGGGTGTAATGCTGTAATATGGGCAGCCATATAAATTATTGAAATAAATAACTTCAATAAGTTTTTATAGTTAACAATGGATTAGATGAAATATCTTCATAAAGCCACCATGGGCATGATAAAAAGTTTTACATTGAAATATTTATTTATCACATGTTTAAAATCTCCATATTTTTTCAAGAAAATGAGAAGCTAAATAGTTGACAAGAATACACGGGTTTTACAGTTTGGAGTTACAAATTTATGCTGATCCACTATAAATAACCATTACATTTATCTGATCCACCTTTATACTAGCTGTATACCTGCTAACATAAACTTTACCAGTTGGGGTAATTTATTTTATAAAGCCTCACCTTTCTAATGTGCTCCAGGAACTCAGGTGATGAGAGGCATTCTTGAGGAGTGGAGAACTTCTTGCAATTGTACTTGAAAAGGGGCAGCAGATCTGGATCCAAATCAAAAAGCCTGAAATATAAAGGACATCCACCCGTTAATTATTTGGTTTCCATGCAAATAAGATGTTAAGACTGCAGTATCAGCTCAACAATTGCTCTCTTCCATCTCATGGGCTATCCATGGACTTCTTCTGGGAAATAAATTCATTCACACAAAAGACAAGAAAACCAGAAATTCAACCTCAAAAGGAAATAAGAACAGGGTCCTGTGGCTCATCTCTCTTCATGCCCCACTAGCTTCCTCTTCAACTTTCAGTATAATCTGTGACTTCGCAATGGTCTTCATTCCCTGAAAGTATGTCAAGCTGGGCTGGATTTTTGGGCAATACATTTCTTTTATGCTAAGGTAGAATGACTTTACTTTACTTTCTCCTTCCTCAAGTCAACAGACTTGAAGAAGACAGTGCACCAATTGCATTCTTCCCTACCCTCGTCCTGCCTCCTGTCTGCTATTTATTTATTTAGCAATATTTATATAGTTGCCCATCTCACACATAAGTGAATCTACAACAAAGTTTAAAACAATATATGCAAACAATATACAGTATTTAGAAAATAGATAAGGCAATGAATTCCTAATGTAGAACACCTCCCTTATTATCTGTTCAAGACTTGCCTGAGCATATCAGGAAAAAGATGTTAAATATAAATATATATTTCATACAGAAAGATTATATCATATCATCAAATGATAAAGATCTACAGTAGAGGCAAAAATCCCCAGAAATTATAACATTTAGCAAAAATACTGGAAGATAGCTAACACTAAGTCTCCTTCCACACAAAAATGTTCAAACATAATTTTGTTCCCTGAATTTATTTCACTGAAAGCCACTGTAAACTTCCTTTCTTAAAAGATTCTTATTATCACAAGTTATTAATATCATTCATGCTTTACCTAGCTATGGTTCATTTTGTCAGAGAGCTGTATTTAATTCTCTCTCTCCCCCAAATGGAAATGGATTCTTCCATTGTAGGGTTAGAAGGGAATCTCAGAGGTCTTCTAGTCCAATGCTCTGCTCAAGGCAAAAGTCTTATACCATTCCAGCCAAATGGTTGTCCAGCCTATTTTCGAAAACCCCAGTGATGGAGCATCCACAACCCAGGAGGCAAGCTATACCATTGATTAATTATTCTCACTGTCAGAACATTTCTTCTTATTTCTCTCTTTGACGAGATCCCTTTACTTTTTGCCCTGCCTTTTGGTGCTCTAAAGAATAAGTCAGTCGCTTCTTCTTTATAACAGCCCCTCAAGCACTGGAAGCCAGTTATCATGTTCCCCCTGAAGCTTCTCTTCAATAGGCTAGGCATACATAGGTCCCTCAACCGTTCATTAAATGAATGACCCTTTATCATCTTTGTTGCTTTTCTCTGCACACTTTCCAGGGTCTCAACATCTTTTCTATATTATGATGACCATAACTGGATGTAGTATTTCAAGTATGGTCTCACCAGCATGGTGTAAAACCACATTATCACTTCTCATTGTCTTGACACTATCCTTGTGTTGATGCAGTCTAGGACTGCATTGGAGTTTTGGCAGCTACAGCACACTGCTGGCTCATATTTAAGTGGTGGTCTACTAAGATACCTAGATAGATCCCTCTCACAATTACCACTGTTCAATGTTCAGTCAGGTACCGCCAATTTTATACCTATGCATTTGGTTTTTCCTGCCTAAGTGCAGGATCTTCATTTTCTCACCACTGAACTGCACCTTGTTGGGTAGGGCCCAGTGCTCAAGTCTGTCAAGATCCTTCTGGATCTTGAACATATCTTCCAAAGCATCAACTATTCTCCCAGTTTTGTGTCGTCTGCAAGTTTGATGAGTTCCCCTTCTATCCCCATTTATGAAGATGTCGAAGAGTACTGGGCCTAAGACAGAACTTTGAGGTATTTCACTGCATACCTCCCTCTGTTTAGATGTAGTTCCACTGACGACTACTCACTGAGTTCAGTTAGACAGTTTGTGAATCCATCTAGTGGTGGTACTGTCTATCTCATATTGATATGGGATCTGCTTTCTCCCTGTTTGCCTGTCACTTTCTTGCCATCCCTTCCCATTAGTGGGCCTATCTTTTCCTTGACTTTCTTCTTGTTCCTTACATACTGAAGGAAACTTTTCTTATTATTTTTGGCATTGGCAGCTAGTTTTGGTTCACTCTGGGCCTTGGCTTTCCTGACTCCCTTCTTGCAGATTTGGGCTGCTTCTTGGTATTTTACATTAGTTAAGTGTGCCTTCTTCCATTTTTTAGTATATTTCACTTTTTTGTCCCTCAATTTGTCAGAGAGCTCTTTATGCAACTATGCTGGTCTTGTATGATGTCTTTTGTTTTTCTTTCTCCATGGTATTGTTTTTGCTTGGGCCTTCATTATCTCATTTTTCAAGGTTTCCCAAATGTCTTAAACTATTTTTCCTTTTAGAATATCTATTCATGGAATCCTTCTAGTCTCTCTCTCTTAGCTTACTGAAGTCAGCTTTCTTAAAGTCTAAAGCACTAGTCTGACATTGTTCAGTTACCTGTGGTTGCATTATGGTGAATTCAAATATGTCATGGTCATGCTCCCCCCAAATCCCCATAACTTCTACTCCCTCAACCATTTAATCCCTCTGCACATCTCATCTGTACACTCCAAAGTCAATGTGGATGTTAAAAAAATACCCTGGAATAGGCCATGGAGATGATGCAAGTAGCTCCTATATTGGGGAGAGGAATATGAAGAAATATGCAAGAAGAAATCTATTAATGACATTGGATGAAACCCTGCATCCCTACTTCCAAAATGATCCTGAAATGCTCAATATCTGCAACAGTACCCAAAAGAGCAATTTAAGGATCATCTTCAAAATGTGTGGAGGATAATGTTTCCTTTTTCATTCTATGCAATAGCCACAGATTCTTATTAGCTTTTTATTGTCAGGTTGGATTTTACATATGCATGTCATTCACAGTGGCCTTTTAATCCTGTCTCCCTCTGTAGTTATTGAGCCTCTAAATAGATAAAATAACTAATCTCCCAAGAACATTCTTCCTGTTTACATAGCAGGCATCCCTCCTAGTTATTGAGGGTGCATAAGAAACTACAAGATCAGTGTACAATTATATACACATAGTCAAATATATTGGCACAAAGTCAAATAAACTGGCACAAAGAACTGTAACATCTTTGCTTCGTGCGCTGCACTGGATACCAGCTTACTTCTGGCTCCAATTCAAGATTTTGGTTATGGCTTTTAAAGCCCTACAAGGCATAGGCTGTATTACCTATGGAACTGTCTTTGTTCCATTACTTCAGCCCATGCCAATAATTTTTCTGTCAATCTTATTCCATTCATCTTAATTGGGGAGGGGGTCAGTGTTGACTCTTGGCGACTACCTGGAACAGTTCCTGCAGTTGTCTTGGCAAGATTTCAGAAGTGCCGTTGCCTCCTTTCTAGGGTTGAGAGAGAGGGAGTAGACCAAGGTCAACCATTTGGCTTTAAGCCTACGGAAAGACTAGAACATACAGTCTCCCAGTTTTAGCTTGGTGCCTTAACCACTATATGAAACTGGCTCTCATTGTCTCTTCAAGGTACTAATATGTTAAACTGGAAATCACTAATGGGAAAAAATGACAAGAAGGTGACAAGTAGCAGGATTTTAAAGCAGAACTGATTAACTCATTTTTTGCATCTGTCTTTACACAAAAGGAAAAAAAATAGTTCAGCCTATCAAAAATACCATAAAATGCAAATTAGGAATGCAAGTCAAAATAGGCAAGAAAATATCCCAAAGGTGCTTTTCCAAAAGGCAACTGGACTTCTTGGTTTTTTCTTTGAGTATGTATCACTTCTTATCCAAGAAGTTCTGACTGAATGGTGGGGAATGGAAATATTTATATTCTTTACAGTCAACTCGTCATTAGCACTCTGCTCTGAGGGTCAGTGTTAGCTCTCTGAGAGTCATTGAGGCCACTTGGGGTTTATCTGTATCCTCAGAGTCACCTGGATCAGAGTGCAAATGGATGTGGAACTTTTCTTGGAACTGCTGAAAGATTGTGTTGTAGACAAGAGAGAGGGTTCTTCAATTGAGAGAGGGTTCTTCAGTTTTAATATAGATGGCCTCTTTGATCTATGTTGTGGCCTTCAGAAGTGGCCTTTGGAACTTGTGGGTGCCCTATGTTTGGAGGTTTTTAAGATGAGATTGGACAACCACTTGTCTGAAATAGTATAGAGTCTTCTGCTTGAGCAAGGGATTGGACTAGAAGGCTTCCAAGGTCTCTTCCAACTCTGTTATTCTGTTAAATCAGGTGGTCAACTTGTAATTCACAGTCCTCTTCTGTGGCCTTATTGGACTCACGCAGTGGGTGGGAACAATTTTTCCAGAGGATTTTGGTAATTTAAAGGTGTTTTAAATTTTAAAGCTCCCACTTTACGCTTTAAAAATTACTCACATCCCAAATTGGTCTGATCTTTCCTGGTCTGCGTTTTTTTTTAAGAGGCTTAAAGCATTCAGCTGACCCCTTAATATCTTTGATATCCCCAAAACTGAAAATTTGAGCCCAGGCCCACAGATCACACCATGGTGTTTACAAACCATAAGCTCGGCCACAAAAAAAGTTTCTTCCTGTGCTCTAGATCATATTATAATCTTACTTTCAGTATTTCGATATCTATTATCACTCATTATGGAAGCTGGAATTGTCATTCAGCTGCATCTAGAAGGCCTGAAGACTCCCAAGATCCTTTTTTGAGCATTCAGTGTCAGTTCAGGTTAGTTTGATGTAGAAATGAAATTTAGATCTTAGGAGTTAACATGTATCTCTTTATACTTATTTACCCTTAACTTGATTTATGTTTTGAGACATATTTATCCCTCTTGATGCAATGCCCTTAGTCCATTCCACAATCCCTTTTTGTTTTTACCACACTGAAAGATGAGTTAACATATTTATTAAAGGACAATAGATTAAATCAAAGTCAATAAACCACTTCTGCTCATTTAAAATCGTCGTACTGAATGTTGAAAT